CAGCCAATTAAAAATGCTATGCCACATTTTACCATCTAATTTGCTGCAGCAGTCAATCTTTTTTTTCCGTGTACAATTTGAGCAGATTGAATTTCAGTAAGTCGAGGCATTTTTAGTAAGAAAATAAAATATCCTGTGCTTTTCTATATTTTTTTATTAGTATTTACTCTGCATAATAAAATTAATGTTCAATACGGATCCTTCCCCATAATGAGGTTTCGGCATTTGACTCTATCGCGATATTCGTTAAAAATGCCCGAATAACTTCAAAATGGCATTACTCAGTTAAAAAAAATCGTAGACTCGAATTTTTTTTCAAATTGTTTGTTGAAAAGTGCACTTTACAATCGTCTATGTGATATTTTCGAAAAAAAATCGGGGCGATCCAGGTAGCGCATCAAACAATCAAATTTTTTAAGAAAAAAAATACTTGGGCCTTATCAAAACATGGAGATGCGGCATCGACTTGCACGTAATTTCCCGCGCGCGCATCAAGTTTTTCTTAAAGTACAGATTATTACCTACAAAATAAAAAAAAATCGTCTTGATACGATGAAAATTGACCGAGTTATGCGTATTTGAAAAATAGCAAAATTTCGATGAAAAATTTTGTTGCGATAATTTTGTTGCGTAGTGTATATATGTATATAATTATATGTTTATTTTTACCTTAATTGCGTAATTAAAAATATCAAATTAAATATAATGATTTATTATGTTTTTATTAATGTCAACAGATCATTTAGATATCCCTCAGCGTACAGGAAAGATTAACGATCTTAACAAATTCGACGCGTTGTTCTTTGGCGTTCACTTTAAACAGGCCCACACGATGGATCCGATGTGCAGAATCTTATTAGAGCACGCTTACGAAGCCATCATTGACGCGGGAGTTAATCCAAAGCAGTTACGTGGATCACGAACTGGCGTTTTCGTGGGTGCATGTTTCTCTGAATCTGAAAAGACTTGGTTTTATGAAAAATTACAGGTATCCTTCACTATTAACGCGCGATAGTAAAGGACAGCTATAAATGAGTCAAAAGATTCAAGATTCACTTTGTTAACTTAAATTTAGATGCAGAAAGAATTTCTAATTTTATATTTTCTATTTTTGAAATTTTTAATTACTCGCTTGTTTCATTACTAAAAATGAAATAATAAAGTGTAGGAAATATCACACGTAAACTTAAATGTTGAAGGCAATGTATTAACGAATTTGATGTAAATGTTAAACGATCGTGTGTGTATGTGCGTGCGTGCGTGGTAAAAAATGACTTTCTATATTTAATATATTTTCTTGATTAGGTAAATGGCTTTGGAATTACCGGATGCAGCAGAGCCATGTTAGCGAATAGAATTTCCTATTGGCTAGGAGTGACTGGACCATCTTACACTTTAGATTCCGCTTGCAGCTCAAGCTTAATTGCATTGGAACATGCTTATCGATGTTTGCAAGACGATCAATGCGACGCCGCTCTTGTGGGCGGATCAAACCTGTGTCTTCATCCCTATGTATCGCTGCAATTTTCTCGTCTTGGTAATATAATCCCTCGTCTTCGATCATATTTTTTCTGCATAAATCTCTATGATATAAAAAAATGAAAAGTCACGTTTCTTTCACTAGAATCCTATAATAAAAAGTTATACTTATTATTAATCAAGTAATTATACTGATCAATAATCAAAGAGACAGTATTCATATATGAAATTTAAGAAAAGAAAAGGATTAAAACTTTCATTAACACTTCAAAATGTGTTTTCGCAATTAGTTACATATATTAACAATACCAACGGATTTGTATTGTAACTGTACATTATACAAGTTTTATGTTCTTCTAATGTACTTTCTTTTTAGAAGATTTATTCGATAGTTTTCTTTCTGAGAATATAAAATTGAAAAAGCTTAAACAACAAAATTTCATTACTGCGAATAGAGATACAATTACTCCCAGTAACGAAATTTTTTTGTTTAGAATATATCTTCCATACGTTTATTCAATTTTCCGTCAAAAACACAATACATCTTTTTTATTAGAGATGATGTGTCAATATAAAAAGTATATACTATTGCACATACTACGTATATACTTTTAGTATTTATAATATTAATCATACATATAGGATATTATTCTGCAAGAAATTAATAATTAAAATTCTATATGAAACACAATAAGTTAGGAACATAAAGTATAGGGTAGAACGGGACTATTTGAGCATAGGGGCAAGTTGGTCAAATGCAAATATCTAAATAACCAAAATATATATAGATACGTCTATGCTTGCGTAATGTAGCACAAAGACAGAGATTATTGTACCTTAATACAATAATCTGAATCCGGCTATCAACAGCCAAATACGTACGCTTTTTCGTTTTTGTTTATCAAAAGTAAAATTATTAGGTGAGTATTCTTTTTGGTCTACATGATAATTAGAGCGATTGATAATAATCAAATGTGTTTTTTAGATATAAGTTATTATCGTATTTTTTAACTTTAATGTTTAAGTTGCTATTTTATTTACGGTTTTTCAGTTATAAAAAAGTATTTCAGTCAACACCGATACGGGGCTTGTTGGGCCAGTACCTCATAACTAACCTTATAAACTCAGCTGCTTAAATGAAATCTGTCTTTATCAATGCTTTTTATTCTATGTCAACGATTAAACATATATTT